AGAAATCTTAAAAGGACATCTTAAGATTTTTAAAAATATTTAACCATTTTAACAGACTTTTTACCATATGAACCATTTTAAGTGTACAGTCCAGTGATATTAAGTACATTGACATGGTTGTTCAACCAGCACCACATCCATCTCTATAGCTCTTTTTCATCTTGAAATACTGAACATTTATATTCATTAAACAGTAACTCCCCATTCTTCTGTCCCTCCAGCCTTTGACCATTATTGTTCTCCTTTCTCTTTCTATGAGTTTGACTACTTCAGACAGCCAGGGTAAGTGCAATCGTGCAATATTGGTCATTTTATGACTTATTTAGCATAATGTACTCAAGTTTTATCCAGAGGTAGCATATGTTAGAATTTCTTTCCTTTTTAAGATTGAATAATATTCCAGTGTATGTACGTACCATATTTTGTCTACCTATTTATCTGTTGATGGATATTTGGGTTGCTTCCACTTTTTGGTGGGAACATGGATATAAAAATTTCTCAATATTTTGGGGATGTATATCCCAATTCTTTCAAAATTTTTCAGTACATAATTAGAAGTGGAATTGCTGGATCATATGACAATTCTATTTTTAAATTTTTGAGAAACATTTCTACTGGCTAACTTGAACAATGATGCTCTATTTCAAGGAATAGAGAAAGTGAGTGATCACTAAGCTGCAGTCCCTTGGTGATTCACTTACACCTAGAAGAGTCAGTCACCCTTGCTATAGAGCATTGCTCCTCACATACCTAATAATTGGTCTGAAAGGAATGGTCAAGGCACTGCCTAATGGTCAGCTCCTGAATTGCATTTGGGTATGCTCCATAAAGTTTCTTTCTTCTTTTGGTGAAAGAGCCAAATCTGCAATTCTTTAATCATTTTTATTAGTTCAGTTTGCATAAATAAAGAACCTGTTAACAGACTGTCTTAAAGTATTCCAAAGGATCAAGAAGAAGTAATATTTCTGCCCTCTGGTCTCTCTCAAATTTACTCTGAAAATAATCTATAATAGACAAAACAGGGACCAAGTTTTGGTATCAGAGATATTTGTGTTCAAAATGTTTAGTTCTGTCATGAAATTCCTAGACACTTGTGAGCTTTGTTTCATTATTATATAAAACAGGAGAGTGATATATGATTTAATATTTTATTGTGACAATTTACCAATAATGTAGCTACAGAGATTGACAGTAACAGATGATTAGTTAATCAGGGTAATCTTAATAGGTCCAGAGAAAGCATTCATTCTTGATTACAAATTCTCAATGATTTAGAAATTGAAGGGAATTTTCTCAATTCAATAAAGAACCTCTACAAAAAACTATATCAAATGTCACACTTGATGGTGAATGAATGAATGTTTTCCCCTAATTTCAGGACTAGGAGAAGAATTTTGGCTCTCACCACTTGTATCTAAGATTTTGCTAGGGACTCTAGCCAGTGCAATAAGGCAAGAGAATGAAACAAAAGACATACAGTTTGGAAAGGAAG